CTTGCATGGACCTTTGACTCAGCCCAAAGTTTTGAGTTTAGGTTAAATAGTTATCGCTCTGCCCCTAAAAGACAGGAAAAAGTATGCTGCCATGACAGCTCTTCCTCTGTCAACTTATAATGAAATAAGACTTTAGGTGTGTCTGTAGAGGTTGTTCTATTATAAATTGAGGCTGAACTCATTTTAACTATATAATACAAATTTACACGTTTTATTTATATAGGCCTCTGTCGCAGTACATTTTTAACAGCACATATTTTTTATGAAGATCTTATTTCAATTGTGAGATCTTAATGAGAGAATTAGATATGCAACTAAATAAAAAATACAATACTCCCTAAACTAAACTCTAGAACAAATGAAGTACACTCTAAAAAATGTGACCAATGGTAACGTAAAAAAAATTGTGGCAACAAAGTTACAATTAATATAATTGATTAGAATTTACTTACTCAACATTTAAGCTAATATTATTGAAAGAAATAATTAAATCTAAGTTTTTTTACATGATTTACATGAATTTTACATGATTCATGTCTACTAAGAAAATCATCATACTGAATTTATATTTACTTAATTTTCGGGTGAAATTTATTTATAATTACTAAATATTTGGATGAATATGATTTACATTAACTGAATATTTAATTGAAATTGATTTACAGTTACTGAATTTTTGGGTGGAATTGATTTATAATTACTTAATATTCTGGAGTAATTGATTTACAGTTATTTAATATTTGGGTGGAATTGATTTATAATTACTTAATATTCTGGAGTAATTGATTTACAGTTATTTAATATTTGGGTGGAATTCATTTATATTTACTTAATATTCTGGTGGAATTCATTTACAGTAACTGAATGTTTGGGTGGAATTCATTTATATTTACTTAATATTCTAGTGGAATTGATTTACAGTAACTGAATATTTGGGTGGAATTGATTCATATTTCCTCTCCGGGAACCGTCACCTTATCGTGGTGGAGAGGTTTGTGTGCCCCTATGAACCTGAGGGCTGTGTTGTCGGGAGCCTTGTGCTCCTGGTAGGGTTACCCTTGGCAAAGTGGTCTCAGGCGAGGGGCCAGACTAAGACCCCCCATGAAAAAACGGAAGAGGGAAGGAGTTACCCGGCCCGGAGGAAGCCCGGGGCCCCCATTTGGAGCCAGGCCCAGATGGAGGGCCCGACAGCGAGCGTCTGGTGGCCGGGTTTACCGCGGAGCCCGGCCGGGCACAGCCCGAAGGAGTGACGCGGCAGCCCAACACTCTACTCCCCATGGGCTCACCACCTGTGGAGGAAACCGATGGGGTCGGGTGCGCTGCTACAAGGGTGGCAGTGACAGTGGGGGGTCTAGACGGAACAGACCTGGGCGGCAGATGCTGGCTCTGGGGACGTGGAACGTAACCTCTCTGGGGGGGAAGGAGCCGGAGCTTGTGCGGGAGGTGGAGCGTTATCAGTTGGATCTGGTGGGGCTTACCTCTACGCACAGCCTCGGCTCTGGAACCACACTCCTGGCTAGGGGGTGGACTCTATTCTACTCCGGAGTGGCCCATGGTGTGAGGCGCCAGGCGGGTGTGGGGATACTCATAAGTCCCCGGCTGAGTGCTGCTACATTGGAGTTTACCCCGGTGGACAAAAGGGTTGCCTCCCTACGCCTTCGGGTGGTGGGGGGGAAAACTCTGACTGTTGTCTGTGCATATGCACCAAACAGCAGCTCAGAGTATTCGGCCTTTTTTGAGACCCTGAATGGAGTCCTGCATGGGGCTCCAGTAGGGGAATCCATAGTCCTACTGGGAGACTTCAATGCGCACGTGGGCGACGATGGAGATAACTGGAGAGGCGTGATTGGGAGGAATGGCCTCCCTGATCTGAACCCGAGCGGGTGTTTGTTACTGGACTTCTGTGCCAGTCACGGATTGTCCATAACAAACACCATGTTCGTACATAAGGATGTTCATAAGTGTACGTGGTACCAGAGCACCCTAGGCCAAAGATCAATGATCGATTTTGTAATCGTATCGTCTGATCTGAGGCCGCATGTTCTGGACACTCGGGTAAAGAGAGGGGCAGAGCTGTCAACTGATCACCATCTGGTTGTGAGCTGGGTCAGAGGATGGGGGAAGACTCGGGACAGACCCGGTAAACCCAAGCGTGCAGTGAGGGTGAACTGGGAATGTCTGGAGGAGGCCCCACTTGTTACGTCTCCCTTAGTCTAGGTGTAAGGGAGCGCAACCCCCGCAAACATGAGCCCTGATGAACGCGGCGACCAGAGGTATGGGGTCGTGGTGTGAGTGACGACTACTGACACAGGCAAACGGTGTAAACAAAATAGGAGGTTTATTCTCTCCTTAAAAGGAAAAACCAAACAAATGTTCAGGGGAAAAGGGGCTGGGCGAGACCAAAGCAAAGAAACAAGCAAAAAGGGTGAACACTTCCCTAACTGACCTAATTTCCCCCCCCCCCTTTACTCTACCTCGGGCACGGATGAGGCCCGCTTACCAAAAGTACAGGGAGTGGTCCGCCCAGGTCTTGCCTAGTGTATCTAGACAGGCAGTCAGCTACGGGTGGTGTATACCCATGGGTCTCTTCCCTAACAATATCCCCTCCCCCTTGCAACACAGGAAGAAAAATGTTTAACTCAAATAACAAACAGTATACAAAACAAATGTAACATACACACTAACCCAAAGAGCCCACGCTCTGGGACTACCTTTTAACAAACAAACTCTCTCTCTCTCTCTCTCTCTCTCTCTCTCTGAACAAGATACTCACAAACCCCAACGACGGAAATAAACACAGAACCATGAGAGAGGACACCAGCGAGCCACCAGAAGCGCTCTGCCATCAGAGCTGCAGAACCCCTCCCCTCAAAGATCTACAATGACCTGCACCAGCTGCATCCAATAATGAAGGGGAGGAGTCCAGGTCGGTCGTATCCAATCGGCTGCACCTTGGGTGAAGGGTAGCCATCTTGCCTGCAGATTTCCTGTACATGGAGAGACAGGACACAAACCAACACAAACACCCCCAAAACGTAACACCCGGTCCAAAAGATTTTCAACTCACACCTCCGGCGGAGCTTCTCTCACATTCCTGTGGAGGTAGGGGACATTGAACCAGAGTGGTCTATGTTCAAAACCTACATTGCTGAAGCCGCGGCGGTGAGTTGTGGCCTCAAGGTCTTAGGTGCATCAAGGGGCGGTAACCCTCGAACCCCGTGGTGGACACCGGTGGTCAGGGAAGCCGTCCGACTGAAGAAGGAGGCCTTCCGGGTTACGATATCTGGTGGGACTCCAGAGGCAGTTGCAGTGTACCGACAGGCTCGAAGGGCAGCAGCCTCTGCCGTGATGGAGGCAAAGCAGCGAGTATGGGAGGAGTTCGGGGTAACTATGGAGAAGGACTTTCGGTCGGCACCAAAGTGCTTTTGGAAAGGAGGGTTCGGCCGATAGTCGAACCAAGGATTGAAGAGAAACAATGCGGTTTTCGTCCTGTTCGTGGAACAACGGACCAGCTCTTCACTCTTTCCAGGATCATAGAGGGGGCTTGGGAGTATGCTCATCCAGTCTACATGTGTTTTGTGGACTTGGAGAAGGTGTATGACCGGGTCCCCCGAGAGAAACTGTGGGAGGTGCTGCGGGAGTACGGGGTGAGGGGGTCCTTGCTTGGGGCCATCCAATCCTTGTACGCCCAAAGCGAGAGCTGTGTTCGGGTGCTCGGCAGTAAGTTGAAGGCGTTTCCGGTGGGGGTTGGCCTTTGCCAGGGCTCCGCCTTGTCACCAATCTTGTTTGTGGTTTTCATGGACAGGATATCGAGGCGTAGTCGGGGGGAGGAGGGTCTACAGTTCGGGGGGCTGCGGATCTCATCGCTGCTTTTTGCAGATGATGTGGTCCTGATGGCATCTTCCGTCTGTGACCTCCAACTCTCACTGGAGCGTTTCGCAGTCGAGTGTGAAGCGGTCGGGATGAGAATTAGCACCTCTAAATCTGAGGCCATGGTTCTCAGCAGGAAACCGATGGATTGCCCACTCCAGGTAGGGAATGTGTCCTTACCTCAAGTGAAGGAGTTCAAGTACCTCGGGGTCTTGTTCACGAGTGAGGGGAAGATGGAGTGTGAGTTTGGCCGGAGAATCGGCGCAGCGGGGGCGGTATTGCACTCGCTTTACCGCACCGTTGTGACGAAAAGAGAGCTGAGCCGGAAGGCAAAGCTCTCGATCTACCGGTCAATCTTCGTTCCTACCCTCACCTATGGTCATGAAGGATGGGTCATGACCGAAAGAACTAGGTCACGGGTACAAGCGGCCGAAATGGGTTTCCTCAGGAGAGTGGCTGGCGTCTCCCTTAGGGATAGGGTGAGAAGCTCAGCCATTCGCGAGGAGCTCGGAGTAGAGCCGCTGCTCCTTTGCGTCGAAAGGAGCCAGTTGAGGTGGTTTGGGCATCTGGTGAGGATGCCCCCTGGGCGCCTCCCTAGGGAGGTGTTACAGGCACGGCCAGCTGGGAAGAGGCCTCGGGGAAGACCCAGGACTAGGTGGAGAGATTATATCTCTGCACTGGCCTGGGAACGCCTTGGGATCCCGCAGTCAGAGCTGGTAGATGTGGCCCGGGAAAGGGAAGTTTGGGGTCCCCTGCTGGAGCTGTTGCCCCCGCGACCCGACCCCGGATAAGCGGTTGAAGATGGATGGATGGATGATTCATATTTACTTCATATTCGGGTGTAATTGATTAGCAGTTACTGAATATTTGGGTGGAATGTATTTATATTTACTGAATATTTGAGTGAAATTGAGTATTATATACTACTAATCTTGGTAAAATTCAATTTGATTTACTGAATAAAATAGGTTATTTCAACTCACATTTTAGCACAATTTTAGTTAATTCAACACATTGCCATTTCCCTTCTGGACTTAAATTAATTGTTTAAATCTATTCAATACAATTACGTGTCACTTTGTTGCCACAATTTTTTTATGTGTAGATCACTCAATACATTTTTGTGTAACAGTAAACTTAACAAACACATCATCATACATAAGTACCGCAGGTTAAACTTTATTTGTGCAAATTTCTATAAATACATACAGGAAAAGCTGCATTAAATAAGCATGGTTTATATACATTTGAACAACACAAATAAAGCAGTATTAACACTATATAGCAACACTAAAACTGAACTCCAGGAAAGAGCCAAACCTAAACTTCTCAATGTGAATCTTAAAAATATAATTACCATGCATTGAACAAACAGTAACCACATTGGAGAGTTCTAACAGTAACAACAATTCCCTTGTTTTCTCCAAGGGTCAAAGGTTTGAACAGTCCAGCTCCAAGAAAACTTGGAACACCTTAAATGTGTTTAAGTTTCTTTGAATGTGCAAGATTGACTGGATATGCAAACCCAACCAGCAGACAAGCCCTTGCAAAGTCCCTCGGTGCAGTCAGAACTTTTACTCCGTCCAACACGATACCGACATCTGGACTCTTCGACGTGTTCGTCTTATTCCTGTAGATTTTCATCTTTTGTATTGCAAGGTCCCGTGAAACGGTGTCTTCACCAGCATCCTGAAATAGCAAGAAGATTGAGTATTACGTACTGTACATCCAAAAGATTAGGTCCCAATTGAACATCCACCAAATTATTTCTACATTCACAAATATCTTACTATACATTCACTAACAGGCTGGTCATATGTCAACTGATCTCTATATGATAGTATAAACTCATTCCCGGAGCTCTAAGTCACCCAATCCAATGCAACTATGTTAAAGGGACTCTTGGCTGCTTTGTCAATAACTCTGAATTCAGACAGCTGGTGTAATCAGATTGAAATGGCGAGCATTTAGTCTCCATGTCGGCAGTAGTATTAAAAAAAATCTGTCATAGAATACAAAAATGTGCGCACATACCCAGAGGACAATAAATATTTAAGTTAATCTGAATTATTATCAATGAAACTGTAAAACGCAGCGGCTTTTGCCACAACTTACTAGTAGAAATAACGTTAGGATTGTATGTTGTGATTTGACCATTCCAAGTCCTGACGGGTAGAAGAGATGAGAGAAATCACTTTCTTTAAATGTCAACATGTGCTTCAACTTACATCACACTCTTTTATGAGTTGATCCATCGTCTCTATAAGGTAGACCCTGAATGACAGCTTCTCTGGTCGTGGTAATGCTCGAGATGCTGGATGTCTGAAATGAAAAAAACAAACATTATGAGTTAAAATTATCCACTCCAATCCTAAATTCCACAAATCCAGCTGTGACTCCAGGAAGTCTTCATAAACTCCCACAAAACCACAACATTTTACCACTTGATTTTTGTACGATTAAGACATACCATGTTAATGGTGAGCTCACAATGAGGTAATTCAAAGTAAAACGTGATTGTAACATTCTAAATTTGAATAATGATGCACCTGAAAAATCTAAAATGCATGCAGTTAGATGACACTTTCTTTGGAGAGTAAATACAACGTAAACATTGCCTCTGGCAGATGTAAGTGATATTCAATTTTTTTTAAATTCTAAAGTAAAACATTTGCAAACATAATAATGAATGAAACCTTGAATAGGATGCCTTTAGCCTTCAGCCTCAGCTCCATGGCTGCACTTTGAGTGGAAGAGGTTGAGAAGATTGAGAGTGGGTTCCTCCTGCTCGGACATGAACTTTGATTCAAGCTGCACGTGGAGATTCAGGGAAACTCATCCTGGATCTGCAAGACAAATATTGAAATCAGCTTTAGAGCAGCACATATTACAAGCGTACACATGGTTCTTAATGCTGTGTTCACACAGAGTAGTTTACAAACAAAGTCAATGCACAGACGCAAATAACGAGTGACACAAACATTTCGCCTCACGACGTTAGTTACATCACGTAAAGAGCAGGGCGGCGTGAGTCTCCTGCTGCCTCTCAGCACCGGGAACGCGGGGACTGCGGGACTAACGTGTTACTAAGGCCGGTGAACTGATAGTCAGCAAGACACCGGCCACAGCGTGCACAAAACACATCAACACACTGTAGCTTAATATAACGTCAGGTTTCTTGGTTAGTTTCTTTCACTGACTATTCTCCAGAAATGTAACGTTAACGTTTACAGTTAGTTTCACTGACCATTAAAGCCACCTGGTCAAACCCGCCTGCTTTCAACAGCTTGTCATGTTAAAGTTACGTACTAAACGACGTGCAGGGATATTCATATAACTCATATTCCTCATTAACTTACTTTACTAAACTTTGGAAGCAATAATGTTTGTTTCTACTTTTGCAAACATCACCCGTAATCCGTCTCTGTGTGTGCTGCTGCTTCTTAGCTAAAGCTAACCAAGCTAGCTAGCTAGGTTAGCTGGAACGACATGACAACATAAAACCACTAACGTTAGCTTAATGACTTAAACACATTTACAGCGCAGCAAAGTTGGCATGTTTGTTAACTTCACAGAAGAGCAAAACAATGATAAACTGCTTCAAAAACTTGGTTTTAATGCGTTCGTTCAGTAACAATAATTACACCGATCTTACCTTCAGGAGAACAGCATCCCTTGTGGAGCGGATGTCCACGTGGTTCAAAATGCGTGGGACGGAAGTGTCACTCAATTGAAAACAACGTACTCTAAATGAGTAAAATTCATAATTTTCCTGCATATTAAACTTTACTCATAAAATATGATTAAAGTCTACTCAGTCATTCACAGCTGATTTTACTAAAGCACATTTAAGTAACATGTAATTAATAAATAAGCAGCATTTCTGAAATTCAGCTCAATGTAATTCAAAACTGTACTTAGTCTTTTTTATTATGTAACGATTACTATTATTTATTTAGTAGATATTAATTAACGCCAATCCCAGTTTTTACAGTGTAACGTCACCTGGACAAACTCAACGAATGTACAAGTATACCATTTCTGAGGTTTACTTAAAAACAATCATAAGCTATGTTACTGTTAATACTTGTTAATAAACGTGTGGAATTTAACTTTTTAAAAGCACAGTTTGAACCAAATGTAGCCTGTTTCATACAAGTTGAACATGTGGAAATAATAATAATATCTATAATTCACATGAGATAACTTAATTCTGTCAAAAGACCTTGTCAGTCAGGGGACCCTCTCTTGCACACACACACACACACACACACACACACACACACACACACACACACACATGCAAAAGGGTCATTATAAGGACAAGAGTGACCTAACAGGGATTTGAACAACCATGCTGACACAGCAGGATATTTTTTAATGGATCTACAAATCTCCACGCATTTATTCCCCTTGACTGACTATGTTCATGACATATGTTTGGACCGGTATCTTAGTGAGGTAACTAATCTTTGAACCTCACTTATGAATACCTTTCACACGCGACTCAATCTGAACATCTTTTTTTGCAAAATGATTACAACATCCAATAAAGTCTTAAACATGTACATATTGTATGTGATGTTTCATTATAACATAGTGGATAATGTTTATCTAGACGTAAAGGTTCACAGTCGTTAAACAGCTCTTGTACTCAGCTTTTGTGTTTGTGACTGTTGTTTCCTGCGAACTCATGAGTCGGCATTTGAATTGTCGTGCAGCCTGTTGTGCGAGCATGTGTTTTTTTTATGCATGAGGGGGGGGTGATTTTTTATAGCTTACAACGTGTTCTAGTCCAGGCACATGCCATGCATTGGTTTGAAGAATTTAACCCAACTCAGTGACTCAAAATCAGTTTTGAAGAAAAGCACCGGCACAGTCGGCTTAGGCCCAGCCCCTTTATCCTGGACGCAGTGACGTCAGCGCGCAGCACGCTGTGCGCCGCTCTCCGTCATCCGCAGCAGTGTCTCCATCAGCCGCTCCTGCTCCACCACCCTGAACTCAGCACGGGCTGCCTCTGTTACACACGACACCAACCGCGTCTTATCGCTAAATCGGTCCCAACCGTCATCAGATATGGAAGCCGCACCCTCCACCAGTCCGTGCAGGTAAGACAGAGGAGGCTGGCCGTTGGTGGACCGCAGCGTAATGTCGCCATGGCGACCCCGTAGCTTACTTACATTAAAGGCTATCCAGTCGTGTTGAAAGAATAAGGCCGGTCTCATTATCTGAAACGCATTTTTCTGTGGGGTTTCTGCTGAAGTTAGCCGGAGCTAGAGTAACATTAGAGCTTCATTCCGAGGGCTTGTAGCCCACTATAAGGGCTTCCCTACCAAGATGACTTCTCTCCGTCTGACGTAACCGCGGGTTACAGGTGGTGGACGCATCGTATGTTCTTGAAAGAATGTAACAGCACGCCCCCTCGTTTAACAGGCCAGACTTGTGTCTCTACTTTAAACGCCGTGGCTCTGCAACAGCTCAGGCTTGTTAAACCGAGAGGAAATTGCGTCTGCCAAAGAGCCTGGGGCCCGTCCCGGAAGTTCACGCAGCACCACGGAGAGCTCCGCGTGCGGCTGCTCCCGCGCGCGCGCGAGCCCCGCAGCTCCACTCCTGCTTCTAGTTAAACGCAAAGGCCCGTGGCTGACTGTTCTATATAATAACTCCTTATGAGTCCCACCAGCCAAAAATATACACGTCTAAATAGCTTTTGGAAAAACAATCTGCAAAAATCTTAGCTAATTACAGTAAAACATGTAAATTATATTTCAATATTCTTAACAACATTTTCAAAAATGATCTCAAGCAGTAGTTCAGTAGTGCATTAACTTCTTCCACGTGTTTTGGAACACGGTGACAATGTTGGAAGATTATGAAGCTCTCCTGCAAATTTGTCTGGTGTCAAAGGGTCCAAAGTGTAAGTGTAATGCGGTTTTATTAACAGACCTCGAGGCATACAGAGATCATTGACAACATATTTCAATGCAGGAAGACTGTTCGAGACTCTAGATAATGTGGGACCTCAAGGCTTTTCCGATGGAATAGGATTCCCTAATAAATAATATGGCTGGTGCATGGCAAAAAAAAGGTGTAAATGTAGGTTGCTCAATGTTGTATTTATTCCTACACAATCTTCCGTCCCGTGCACTTTAAATGTCAAGTCTCTTCCCCTCCTGTTATCAACAGGGACAGTAGCTATAGGAGTTTCTTCATTTGTCATTATGGTAAAGAAAGAAAGGATTATACCAGTAATTAACCCTTGTGACATTTAAAATATCCACCCAAAATGCACAGTATGCTGAATTAAACTCATTTTCTTGTCAGCAGTTTTTAAGTTGTTGGTGGTTAGAAAAAAAAACAATCAGTATCTATTGAAGGGATGGCATTCATCTAGGTGTGGACCAGTGTGTTTTTGCGGCACGTTAAAATTTTGATCATAAGACAGCACATTTTAGTGTCTTGTGTACAGTATGTGCATTTGGGCGACTGTGGGTGAGTGGGGAGCACGGTCGTCCTCCAATCAGAGGGTTGTGGGTTCGATCCCAGGCCCGGCTAACCCGCATGTCGTTGTGTCCTTGGGCAAGACACTTAACCCAACATTGCTCCTGTAGCTGCGACTACAGTGTGTGAATGGTAGCTACTGATGGCAGGTGTCACTGTGTATGGTTCTCCTGTCATCAGTGTATGAATGGGTGTGAATGGGTGAATGATGTCATGTAGTGTTAAAGCGCTTTGAGTGGTCAGAAGGCTAGAAAAGCGCTATACAAGTACAGGCCATTTACCATTTACCATTTGATTTCTTCCACACAAAATATACTGAATATTTATTGCAGTACTTATGCTGTAATAACCCCTTGCTGTTTTCTAGACGATATTTTAGCGGCATACTTTTATTTCACATTATCCTACCTATAGAGGAGACAGCGCTATATGTTGCCCCCTAAATTAGCTGTAATTTAGTTCATGTTCCTATTCACTCTGTAAAGACAGTGTCCTAAAATGGAAATAATGTTAAGTAGTCATGATTTATGGTTTGGTAAGATTGAACGCGAATCCTTATTCTTCCCGCTGTCTCCAGATACAGTTATGAAGAGTACAAGGAGACAGCAGACTGGCTGCTGGCCCACACAAAGCAGCGTCCTAAAATAGCCATCATCTGTGGCTCAGGCCTGGGCGGACTGGCTGACCTCTTGGGTGACAAGGCCGTGTTCCCTTACGAGGATATACCACGTTTTCCCACCAGCACTGGTAAGTTTTCCCTGACAGTTTGCATATTATCTCATACTCATGCGATTGGTAACTTTTCAGCAGCATGCTAGCAGCTGTTCATACGGAATGTGTGCTGTGCAGTGCCGGGCCATGCCGGGCAGCTGGTGTTCGGGAGCCTGCAGGGCCGTGACTGCGTCTGCATGCAGGGGAGATTCCACTTCTACGAGGGTTACGACATACACACGGTACGCAGTTTTCATGTGCGAGACGAGCTGTGAACGACCACAATTGTACACACAATTGTATTTTTAAAAAACAAGATTAAAAGCCCGTAGACGTACCACGGACTGCGTGATGTGGCAATAGCGAGACGCTTAGGTAAGTCTCCTCACAGTAAAAATGCTTTTCATTCATTTTCATTAATTAGGTTAGCCTGCTAACATTTGCTTGAAGGCATTTAGTCTTAACCATTGATATTAGGAGTTGATGAAGCAATTATTTCAAGTATTCCAACTGTTAAAGGAAAAGGAGGTGAATGTGTGCATCAAGTGACCCATGTAATAGATATTGCGGTATTAGAATAAAAGTCGCACAACGTGCAGCTTTGTGTTGTGTTGGAGAAAAATTCAAGGTATCATCTCGTCCTTTTAAAGTTATGGACATAAGCAGTCTGCACCAAAGTGGTGGAGCAGCCACTTCTGCCATCCATGCCGCTAGCCTTGCTTAAACCTTATGTATTGTGTCTCAGATTTACATTGTTCGTATACTGGGTTCACATAAGTTAGTGTTCTTTAAGCTGAAAGTAAATACATGAATTGATGATTGAATCCATCTTGAATGATATCCATGTGCAAACCGCTTGGTGAGTCATGCAGCTGTATCTGTTTTACTTCTTTAAATTTCTTCATAAGGAATTTCCTTGTTCTTGGTTTCTTGAGAACTTGCTGATGCGAATTATACAGTATGCAGAATAACTAAGCCAAAGCTGGCGGTTTCAACTCTGACTTTGTCGTTCATTATGAGCAAAACATTCACAGCTTTTGTTTGGTGTGGTTCTAATCATTGAACCATGGACGTGTGTAAACACTTAACTTAGTTGTTTGTGTGACAGAGGGAAGCTCCACATGATCCTCAATCAGGACTTGGTGTAAATCATAACTCACAACCGGCTAACAATTTACCATGTGTGTTAGATGACGCTGCAGAATCATGATGGCGGTAAGAAAAAAAAAAAAACCCAGTGTGTGGTTAACGGGGATGACCTTTGCCCTCTGCAGACGCTGTGTCCTGGTTGGATTTCGTATTCGCAGCTTTGATGTGCCTTCACAGGGAACGATCCATATAACCCCACTGAATCAAACATTCCATGTTTATAGATACAGTAATAGAAAGTCAGATGCATTGTGACGCTCCAGTGCTCAGTGGGGACTTTACAGAGATACAACCAATGGAATTCCTCCGGTGGAATCACCAAATGAGTTGAACTTGTGTTGCTATCCAACTAAGGTACATTTGACAATATTACCGATGTACTTTCTTACTTTGAATCAGTTTGTACAAGCAACACTAGCAGAGTGTCACCAGATTTAAGTTATTTTATATATTTTTTCTAAACGAACCAAAACACTGACAAAGCGACAACCAGAACGACGTCCTCTTGTGTCTGAATCGCAGCGCATTTGTCCCTCCAGGTGACGTACCCGGTGCGGGTCTTCTACCTCCTGGGCGTAGAGACTGTGATCGTGACAAACGCTGCGGGAGGACTTAATGGCAGCTACAACGTGGGCGACATCATGATCCTTAAGGATCACATCAACATGCCGGGCTTCGCGGGGCAGAACCCGCTGTGTGGACACAACGACATCAGGTACGCCTGCTAACGCCGAGGCACGACTACGATAGTGAAGCTCGTGCATCGGCCACATCCCCCCCATTTCATTGCTGTTCAACGTGTCTCCAGGTTTGGAGAGCGCTTCCCCTGCATGTCGGACGCATATGACCGTGACCTGAGGGCTGTGGCCAGGCAGACAGCAGAGGAGCAGGGCTGCGGCGGCTTCCTGCAGGAAGGCGTTTACTGCATGCTGGCTGGGCCGTCATACGAGACCATTGCAGAGTGCAAACTCCTGCAGATGCTGGGCGCTGACTGTGTCGGTTAGTACGGCTCTCTCGTCCCCACTGAAAGCGAAACTGATGTGTCTGGAAAGTGTATCCGGAACAGCTCCGGGATATTTAAACAGATTGGAATTCATAGTTTCGGATTGGAACAGATGGAACGACCTGAACAAATAAAAATGGCATTTGAATTGTGCAGCGCTCCAGCAGTGGGAAACGTGAGCAGCGCGATTTGGGCGAGGCCGACCTGCCAAAATTTGTTGGGCAGTGCAGCGTAGAGCTTCATCTGTTCCGCAGATGTTATTTCTCTTCATGATCTCATATTGTAAACTGGCAGCTCGCACCAAAAGAGTTATCTGAAATGTGTCAGCAGCTTTCTCAATACGTCTCATAGATAAACATCCAGAACCTCATCAATTCCATCTAGAGCTTCCCCCATTTCCCTGGACCAATATTGACCAATAGCTAATATGGGTCTTATTTGTACAGTATAGCCCACTGCAAGTCTGACTCGTATTTCCACTTTTTAGTTCATTGCTTTGCTATTTCTTCAAGATAGGGTTCAAATGCAAATCATGTTTTAGTTTATTTGATCTAAATGAATTAGGGCTTTAATCTATGCCGTTGATGTGGCCGAGACTAAAATATTTTAATATTTCTTCCACGTCTTCCAGTGTGCCGGAAGTAAAGTTGACCGTTAGCTGCAGTCAGTCAGACACAAGAGACCTCGACGGTACCTTAAGATGGAGAGATCTTTTTGCATTGGAAGTAAAACTAACATAGGCGCGACGTACAGCGGAGGACCGCGCAGAGGAATTCCTCCATGTGTCAAATAGAAGGCAAACGGACCCCTTTCACGCACCGCCAGGCTAAGCTAGCTGCCTAAAAACAGCCCTAAAATTAATCAAATAACAAGTTTGAAAATATATTTCACCTTGCCTGGAGGAGGACAGACAGGAAGGACGCAAAACGCAGAGGCTGTCAGTTTCAGTGTTAATAGACAAACAAAGACGAAAGAAAGAGGAACTGATGTGGTGTAAATAGTCACTGACTTACAAAGAAAGTAAGACCCGGTAAGCCGCAGGTAAGCAGGCCGAATGAGGGACAAGAAGTGTCCAAAGAATTACCCCCTAACGTCTATTCCTAAACACTTTCCCTTGACCTCTGTGAAACTACATTTTCTCTGAATATAGACTACAAAGAAGCGCATCTTAGATGTACAGATGTTTTATCGCTTCACAGCAGTTTCCTGCAACATCGATGTAACGTGCTTGGGAAGCTTCTCGTACAAATCTCATCATTTTTGCGAAAATACAATACCAAACCACATAATTTATGAATATTATACGATAATTATCACGCTCATAGGACCCATTTCTCCCCTCTTTCTAGGCATGAGCACAGTTCCAGAGGTGGTGGTGGCTCGTCACTGCGGCTTGCGTGTCTTGGGTCTGTCCCTTGTCACCAACAAGGTCGTGACAGACTACGACAGCGCTGAGAAGGCCAACCACGAGGAGGTGCTGAGGACCACCCAGCGAAGAACCCAGGACCTGGAGAGGCTCGTCAGCCAGCTCATCGCCAACATCTAGCACCTTCATCTGATACGTGCAGACAAAACACATTTCCAGTCCTGCAATAAAGTCGTTAGCGTTGAACAAAGGGAGGGGACCAGGTCAAGTATGTGTGGCAAGTTGTCACGTATTTTTGTATTGCAATTTCGTATCTTGGTTCGAGGTATGGAGCGAAGCAAACAAATATTTAGAATGTCAATATGATATGAGGATGTGATAGCTAGAAAAGTCTACGGTATTGGAATAACGTTGGAAATATTAAATGTGTGTAGTTTGCTCTTCAGTGCTCCACAAGAAGATGCTCACAACCCGGGATCCAGTCCTTATGAATCACTTTGATGGAGGCAGTTTGCTCAAATTATTTCTCAGAGGTGTAATTGTTACGGCCACAGCCTTCTGAGTTTGTTACTTTTGTAATTATTAATTGGTTTGGCCTTTCTGAGTGCAGGCTCTGCCCCTGCGCACCTGAGAGCGGTTGCGGTGATGGCTCAGGCTGAGCATATAGAGGGGAGAGCGACTGAGCGCCGGGGGAAAGGAGGAGACCTGCGAGAGCGCCAGGCCCGGCTGCAACACCAGGAGACCAGTGTTTTGTGTTCGAGCGACTATTGTGTTATGTTAAGGTGTAAAACGGAGAGGCTGGAGGTTGGAAAACTATAAAAGATCTCTGGTCGAAGGTGATCCCGTTACGTCGCCTGGTCCATCACCGTCGGGAGGCGTTGACGAACCAGTTGGTACTGGTGGTGATTCGGTAGCGCCGTTTTCAACACATTTTGACGTGGCTAAAAACATCTCGATCGTTCCACCCTTCCGGGAAAAGGAAGTGGAAGCTTATTTTCAAGCTTTTGAACGAGTGGCGTTAGCATTAGGATGGCCAAACGCGGTTTGGGCACTAATGTTGCAATGTAAACTCTCAGGTAAGGCGCAGGAGGTATGTGCATCACTCTCGTTAGAGGAAAGCGTACAGTATGAAGCCGTGAAAGCTGCAATTTTACGGGCATACGAACTTGTTCCTGAGCATTACCGACAGCGGTTCCGTACCTCGAAAAGGGGCACGTCGCAAACGTATGTCGAATTCGCTCGGGAAAAAGGCATCTTATTCGATCGCTGGACCAAGGCGTGCAAGGTAACTGACTATAACTCTTTGCGAGAGCTGTTGCTAATCGAAGAATTTAAGAACTGTGTTCCGGAACGTACTGCATTGTATCTGAACGAACAAAAAGTCAGCACTGTTCAGCAGGCTGCGGTGTTAGCTGACGAGTATGCTTTAATGCACAAAACGGTGTTTTATAAGCGTCCGTCTGATTCTGGGGGGTCCGCCGTGAAGGAGAAGGAAAACCCTTCTGACTCGAGAAGTACATGGAGTCCTCCCAGTCCGAAATCTAATCGAGAATGCAGTTACTGTCACAAAATGGGTCATAGTATGGCTGAGTGTCGCACGTTGAAACGTAAACACGAACGACAAGATTCTTCATCTTTTCCACCGCGAGGCTCGGTGTTGGTGAAAACTTTGTCTCCGGCGGTTGCAGTGTCCCCCACGACCCCAGACAGCTGCTTCAAGCCGTTCATATTCAGCGGTTTTGTTTCAGTAGGTGAGAGGGGCGAGGATCGAAAACCGGTAAGAATTCTCCGGGATACAGGGGGGTCTCAGTCCTTCATATTAGCAGATGTTCTGGATTTTGGTACTGATTCCGCGTGTAATACCAGCACGGTGGTGCAGGGTATTGAAATGGGTTTCGTGACTGTCCCGTTGCATCGGGTGCACGTTTCGTCTGAGTTGGCGTCTGGATGTTTTGAGGTGGCAGTGCGTCCCTCGCTACCTGTGAGAGGCGTTGACTTTATCATGGGTAACGATATAGCTGGGGGTAAAGTCATGCCGGTGGTGCAAGTGGTCGACGTCCCGCACAACGACTCTCAGGCGGATGTGCTTGCTAGAAACCTGCCAGGGGTGTTTAGCGCCGTGGTGACGCGAGCCCAAGCAAAACATGACCTTCAGGAAAGTAATATACTCTGCGATTCTGTGTTTCCCAAGATTCTGGGAACTGACGTGCTGGCTGATCCTCCAGAGCCGCCCAAAACGACTCCAGGGTCAGCTAGGAGCTTTGATCTCATTACTAAGTTGCTTGTTTCGCGCGAAACTCTGATTGAAGCGCAGCGAGAAGATTTATCTTTAACTCCGTGTCGGGCGAGTGCTGAAAAGGGGAAAATATCGCTGCGTAATCACCAGTTTTATTGGCACGATAAGGTGCTAATGCGTCACTGGAGTCGATCGCTAAATCCTGGGCAGCAAGACGATTGGAATGTGGTGCATCAAATTGTGGTGCCCTCGAAGTTTCGATCACAGGTCTTAGAACTGGCCCATGACCATCCTTGGTCCGGACACCTCGGTATCACTAAGACCTATAACCGGGTGCTCCAGTATTTCTTCTGGCCAGGTTTAAAAACTGATGTCGCACAATACTGCAAAACCTGTCACATCTGTCAGGTCAATGGGAAGCCTAATCAAGTTGTGCCGCCGGCTCCCCTCTGTCCTATTCCTGCCGTCGGCGAACCATTCGAGCGCGTGCTAGTTGATTGTGTCGGTCCACTCCCTCGTGCTAAGTCCGGGTGTCAATACTTGTTAACAATCATGTGCGTCGCGACACGCTTTCCGGAAGCCATCCCGTTACGTAACATCACGGCCAAGACGGTAACTAAGGCACTAACAAAATTCTTTACCACCTTTGGGTTGCCGAAAACGGTCCAAACCGATCAGGGTTCAAACTTTATGTCTCGCGTTTTCCGTACGTCCTTAAAGGCTCTTGGAGTGGCTCATGTCGTTGCAAGTGCCTACCACCCTGAGTCGCAAGGAGCTTTAGAACGGTGGCATCAGACGTTAAAATCCGCACTTCGCAAGTATTGCACCGAGACTGGAAAGGAATGGGATGATGGGGTCCCGTTAGTTTTATTTGCAGTGCGTGAGGCAAGACAGGACTCGCTCGGGTTCAGTCCGGCTGAGCTCGTGTTCGGGCATGATGTCCGGGGTCCTTTAAAAATGCTAAAGGAAGAATTTCTCGATAGAGGTTTGTCCGCGAAAACCAACGTTCTCGAGTTGGTCTCACGTACTCGGGAACGTTTGCGAGACGCTTGTAATACGGCGAAGGAAGCGCTTTCATTGTCGCAAAAGAAGATGAAGAAACGCTTTGATACAAAAGCGGTGGTGCGTCGTTTCCTGCCTGGAGATAAAGTTCTCGTGTTGTTCCCCATTCATGGGACCACTCTCTCGGCCCGTTTTTCGGGTCCGTACGTGATCAAGGGTAAGTTGAATGAAACTAACTATATCTTGTACACTCCAGAACGGAGGCGAAAAACACGTGTATGTCACATAAATATGTTGAAACCCTATTTATGTCGTGTTGAACCGAAAGCGACCACCCCTGACGATCCGGTAGCTAAGGCACCCACCGAGCAGGTCTCATTGGTAACTTATGCTTTACCCGCCGACACTGAGGATGATGGGTTGCAGGTCTCTATGGAAGTTTTAAACGGGGGGTGTTTCAAAAATTCGGAAGTCTTAACTTCCCTCCCTTCTCAACTGGCCTATTTATCTCGCGAACAGCAACTGTACGTAATGAACCTGATAAAAGAGTTTCCAAATCTGTTCAATGACGTACCTCCCGGAACTAATGTCATCCAGCATGACATCGAAGTTGGCCGTGCAGGACCTTTCAAGCAACATGCTTACCGCTGTCCCTTAACTAAGAGAGAGGCAATGAAAGCTGAGGTCCAATATTTACTAGAGAATGGGTTCGCTGTTCCGAGTAGTAGCCCCTGGAGCTCGCCGTGCATTCTGGTGCCGAAGGCTGATGGGTCCCTTCGTTTTTGTACCGATTTCCGAAAGGTCAATTCCGTCACCGTGGCTGATGCTTTTCCCTTACCACGTGTGGACGATTGTGTGGATAGTCTTGGGAGTGCAAACTACATTACCAAATTGGACCTATTGAAAGGTTATTGGCAGGTGCCCCTCACCGAGCGGGCTTCTAAGATCTCTGCGTTTGTAACCCCCGACGCTTTTCTGCAGTACACGCGTATGGCCTTCGGTCTCCGAAACGCGCCCGCAACATTTCAGCGGTTAATGTCCACAGTCTTAGGGGGGGTCCCTAACTGTACTGTTTATTTAGACGATGTTGTCGTTTACTCGTCTACGTGGGATGAACACATGTTAACGTTGCATAACGTGTTTGGCCGATTGTCCGCTGCTTCCTTAACGTTGAATCTCAAGAAATGTGAATTTGTAAAAGCTTCTGTAACGTATCTAGGGAAGCAGGTGGGAAATGGTCAAGTGCGACCACGGGACGGAAAGGTGGCTGCTGTGCTCAATTACCCAACACCTACTACGAGGAGAGAACTACGTAGGTTCCTGGGAATGGTTGGCTACTATCGTTGTTTTTGTAAAAACTTCTCGACTGTTGTTGCGCCGTTAACAACACTGTGTAGTCCAAAAGTGGGCTTTCTTTGGACTAACGAATGCGAGCAGGCATTCCTGTCGGCAAAATCTCTCCTTTGCAGTGCACCGGTGCTGTCCGCCCCCGACCTGACTCGTCCGTTCCAGCTGGAGGTGGACGCCAGCGCGGTTGGAGTGGGAGCTGTCCTTCTGCAGGAGGGTGCTGACAACCTAGGCCACCCTGTATCATACTTCTCAGCTAAGTTCAACAGTCATCAGTTGAATTATTCAACCATTGAAAAAGAGACCTTAGCTCTGTTGCTAGCGTTACAACAGTTTAACGTCTACGTGGGGGCTAGTGCGTCTCCTGTCGTTGTTTATACAGATCATAATCCACTTGTTTTTCTGAGCAAAATGTATAACCAAAATCAACGACTCATGCGTTGGGCCTTAATGGTTCAGCCGTACAATCTTGAGATCCGTCATAAAAGAGGCTCTGACAACGTAGTTGCAGATGCATTGTCTCGCGGATTAATTTAGGAACAGGTTTTTCTGTATGAATCCATGCAGAATCAGTTTTTCTTTTTCCCTCTAAGGAAGGAGGAAAAGAGGAAGGAAAAAAAATGATTCTTCCTCTAGGGGGGGAAGTGTTACGGCCACAGCCTTCTGAGTTTGTTACTTTTGTAATTATTAATTGGTTTGGCCTTTCTGAGTGCAGGCTCTGCCCCTGCGCACCTGAGAGCGGTTGCGGTGATGGCTCAGGCTGAGCATATAGAGGGGAGAGCGACTGAGCGCCGGGGGAAAGGAGGAGACCTGCGAGAGCGCCAGGCCCGGCTGCAACACCAGGAGACCAGTGTTTTGTGTTCGAGCGACTATTGTGTTATGTTAAGGTGTAAAACGGAGAGGCTGGAGGTTGGAAAACTATAAAAGATCTTTGCATCGCTTCCTGCCTATCGCGTTTTGTACAAATCTACAAAGATAAATAATTAGCTGTTGGCCAATAATCTGAAATTTTAGTATTGGTTTTAATTTCAAATATAATTTTTCGTGTAGCATTGTGACATCCTGAAAAATAATAGAGTTTGAAAATCCTACTATTAAATGGGGAAATGTGAGTTGCTGCTCTGCTCTTAACATCCATTTTAACATTTTAATTTCATTTTACTTCTATAGTCAAGAATGTAATAAGATTAATTTGTCTCAAAGTTGAAGCAATCTAAAGAACATTCTTTTACATTTTTTCTATTCAGTAAAACCAACTGAAAAATAAACTTTGAAAGCTGGGGAAATCAAATGATGTGTATTTTTAGAAAGAAAACATTTTTTTTTATAAGTTTATATAATGCAATAAATTCAAAACAAAGAAGGAACCTTTGCGAACCACTCCCTTAAAGGGTGACTGGTTGAAACGCAGCATTTCACCCTCCTGCTGGTTGAAAGACAAGCGTAGTTCACTGTGGTTTTGTGCACCTGTAACCACACCAAGCAGTACTGATATTTTCCCTCAGCATTACAGCATTTGTATCTCTGTTATTTGAACGCTAGAAACAATGGCCCTGTCATATCAGGACAAGCTATAATAGCCGTGTTCAATCTTCTCCTTCTGGAACCTCCTGCCAGGTCCCCTCCACCGTCTCATTCATCAGAGCTCCAAAGATCAAATCTGCAGTCCACCTATTCGGCCGTTTGTATCAGGCTCAACATCAAGAGGCCGACAGAAGTCTTAAAGAGGAATTCCGCTCAGAGTGACGGCTGCTATCACCAAAATGTAAAATTTGAATTTAAACTGCTGCATGCAAAATAAACATCTCTTTTGTTATGTAAGTTATTCATTTTTACAGGTCATTTTAGCTGACGCTTTTATCCAAAGCGACTTACATTACATTTCTAACCTGTGGCTTTTTACAATTGCTCCCCGGACATGGGACATGGGGCAGCCGGGACTCGAACCTTGTGGTTCTCAGCGCCACGATGACCCATTTTAAGATGCCTGATCCATGATCAGTATTTCCCTTTACTCCATGTTGCATTTTTTTCCGATTTTCATTTATTTGATTGAAAAATTACTAAATGTTTTTGTTTTCCAGGTCTCAGTTTATTCACAAACAGTAAACCCACAATGTCAGTATTGACGCAAACATAGTTTATTTTAATGCAAAATGTTGCTGTTGTCAAATAAAACGTGCAGATATCATTTGGAAGCTGTTTTTTCTGTCATAAGTGAGTGCACGCGTTTGTGGGGGGGTGTGTGTGTGTGTGTGTGTGTGTGTGTGTGTGTGTGTGTGTGTGTGTGTGTGCTAGTGGGACTAGTGGATCACCTGACTTCCTCACGGCTGTTCACAAGGAGAACGCAAGTTTCTACCGTCGATAACGATGAACAGTGAACGAGGCCATAATTGGCAAGATCAGGGAGATAAGGGAGAAGCGCGCACACACGCACACACACACACACGTCCTCTCTCTCTATCCTCACCTCTCCTATCGCAATCCTTCACTTTAAGCACACCTCATGCAGACCAAGACGCTGTGAGTGTGAGACGAAGTGGAAACGTCTGCTCCATAATTCATGCACGTAGAGGCGCGGCCCGCTGCGGAGCTGAAATATTCATACAAATGAACGAGGAGGCGCAAACGCAACACCTGCGCTGCGCTGGACTGCAGAGGCCCGCGCACCCTCCACGAGGACGGGAGGGTGGAGAACAGGAGGGTGGAGGATGCAAAGCAGCCGGCTCCCCTGCTTTGCATGGGGGGGTAGAGACGAGTCTAGAACCAGGGGGGGGGGGGGGTGGTTTAAGTCCCCGCAGGGTGGCGACGGGCCACATGTAACGTTAAAACCCGCTGTTTGCGCCGAGCCAGTTTAGTGATCGTTACAGGGTGAAAAGAGCCGCTGAGGAAATAACCTCTGACTTTCTTAAGAACACTTGTCACACGCACACGTGCTGCTCACGCGCACTGCCGTGCACGCGAGCTGGTGCATGGCCATGTGAGCGCAGCGCTTCTCCCGATGGCGATTGGGACTCGTTTAGCGCGGGTGCCTTGCAGTGTGCAGCACTGCTACGTGTGCATCAATATGCATGACGGTGCCGACTCGGTTCGAGTAGAGACGCGTAATTATTTGCCAAGGTCGTGCCAAGCACGTGGTCCTGGGCCGCAGATGTCAGCGCAGCTCCGGGTCTTAACCAGTGCACTTGAACCAGCAGGTGTCTGTGGAGCTCAGACCATCTGAGTGAGGAGATGCAGTTTTTATAACAACAAAATCAATTTCACACAAAATGGGTTGGTTGGAATTTCCAAATAATAATAATAATAAATAATAATGCATGAGAAGTGAATCTCATGGTACTTGGTTCATCTAGATGTGTTTGTGAGAACAAATAGACCCTACATGACTGTCTTGGCCGCCATAAAGTTGACACAATTTAAAGGATGCGATTGATAGCGTGAAACGTTGCCTTTTCACAACAGACATGTTTTAGCTACAATGAAATATATATGTAATTAAATGAACCACATGAAACAGTTTTTATTATGACCTGTAATTCAGTTGAAAAATAGTATTGATTTTCTTTTTCTTCTACCCAACAGCAGGAAAATGCTTTAAGGGATACTTGCCCTTCTGCTCATTACAGTCGTATTACTTCATCCTGAATATTATTACCTCTTGGAGTAAATTAAAGAAATATATAGGACTACTTTTATTACATATCGTTCTTCTAATAGGATCCAGCGGCTTTGACTACCCTCTACACATCAGCCGGGCCATTAATGAAAAAGTTTTTTTTTTACTTCTCAGAATTTACATTTATGTTGTGGGCTAATCACTGCTGGCTGGAGGCAGGGTGGGAAATGTGATTAATGTGTGCGTTCTAATTAAGTCTGCAAAGCCTCACAGAGTGTGCAGAACGGCTCTGGGAGCTGCACGCTTAGATACACACACAGATGTAAGGGTGGAACGCACACACACACACACACACACGCACACATGCATACATGTGGACTGAATCACAGACACTCACACACACACACACATGGGATCTACTGTAAACCATGATGATGCAACAACCACATGATCTGCTGACTATCTGCATCTTTCTCATTCTCTCTCTCTCTTTTATACACATCAGTCTGTCCACTGCAGTGCCCAAGACATCCTATCACACAGAGCCACATCAGAGAGAGAGAGAGAGAGAGAGAGGGAGAGAGAGAGAGGGGGGGGGGGAGGCGGGGGGCGCTGACTCAGATGACGCTCTGCTCCGTGCAAGCGCGCCCCCGGCGGCGGAGCGGCGCCACTGCCGCTGCTCCGCCGGGGTTAAAAAGCGGCGGGCGGCGCGCCGGGGCCACAGTGAGGGGGTGTGTTTGAACAAGAGACACAGAAAAGTTAGCGGTTGGAAATCTTTTTCTGTTTTCTGACCCAGCAAGCAGCATCCTTTCAAAAGAAGCATCATGGCCGACAAAGCACAGCAGCCTCCTCACCTGCACCTGGCCGAGGTCACCGCGTCCCAGTTCCTCGACATTTGGAAACATTTCGACTCCGACGGTAGGACACTTTTTGTTTTCTTCCTAAAAGTAATTGCAAGTCAGGAGAGAACAGTGGATTGCAGATAATAACACTGCTATTGAAGATTGAAGGTAGGTTGACGATGATTATACGGGGAGATGCGCGGACAAATTCCTCCGAGAAAAATACCTCGAATAAAACAAACTATTTTTGCGTATTACAAAACCGCAGGAAAAGGAAAAATCACCCATAACATAATATAGCGTTCTGAATTTCATTGCGTCTATTTTGTCTTTCATTAGATAATACTCTTTGTCTTCTTGTGTGGTTGTGGAGCAAAGAAGTCTAATGCGACCTTCTCGCGTTTAACCGTCGTGTTTATCAGCCTATATCACACCTGATATTGATTTAAGTTATACGTCGTTAAAATGAATTTTAAAATGCTCCCGACACCACGTTGTATCAGTTAATTTCATTAAATGTATTTTTTATTTAACTGCACATTATGATTTCTCGATAAGCCTTCAAATCAAATATTGTTTTCAATTATCTAAAGTATATGTTTAAAATGTGCAATGTGCAAGGTGCGGATCACTGTTAATGTTAATTAAGAAGTGTTTCGTCATGTAATTAAGGTTTTGTAAGGTTACCTTAACGTGTAGGCTCTGACTACTGCCGATTTCTGATCAAAAACTGGCTTATTTAGGTTCCATCAGTAAGATTCCTCATGTTAAGATGGTCTTAATGCAGTGGACATATAGCGTGGTATGAATATGCATTTATGTCATAGAGATGTTATATCTGTCAACGTGAAATAGCCCCGTGCTTTAGACCTCTAATATAATTTATTCAGCGTCCCGCACAGATTTTTCAATTCAGTCTTTCTTTGGGGCTCTTGAAAAACATGTCTGTGTGCATGTATTCTTTCTTCCTCAAACATATTCATCAAACGTTGTAAAACACTCAATCGTGTGATTGGGGAAATCCTTTTTCTGTGGATTAAAGGTATTTATTTAAACTGATGATCAGGAAGGAGATGCTCCAAAACACACCTTGAAAGCAAGGTGAGTGTGCGTCTAATATTTGTTTCACACGCAGGCTCTGGGGATTCCACTGTTACTGCGACCTGTTTTGACGCTTGCACACATGCTGAAATGCTCTCCGCGGGGAAATCAGGAGCTGGTCTGTGTGGGGCTCAGCAGCTGGGCTCCTCCACATGAGCCAATGTGCAGACAAAGTTGCCACGAGCTTTTGTTGTTTTTACATCTTTTTTTTTCTCCCCCCCTTGCCAGGATGTCACTCCTACCACCCAGGTGCCTTAAAGTCCCGAGGTGCTTTACATACTGCGCTTTGCGACGAGCCGCTTTACAAATCAAATACAACCAGTGAGCATCAACAGATTTGGCCACGGCATTTAAATTCTGCTCTCATTACTGGGAGTGTCTCCCGGCTCGGCAGGAAGAGAGAGGAGAGCCAATTTGCTTGCTCAGATTGAGTAAACATCTCCCGAGTTGCGGATGAAAATACACAGGAGACAATGCACCTAGAGATGATGAAACCGAATATTCCCCCGTTGGCACCAGGATCGAGTCTCATCTGGATTGCGTCTTTCGCAGTTACTCCGCTCTGCGTCCCTCTCGTCTCTCTGTCTCCGTCGGGCCTTCTCTATTCATGCGCTTCAAAGCCGCAAACAACTGAAGTTCCTTTTGCTAATTATAGCGATTTGGCTGTCAATTGTTTTTTTTATTAACCTGCGTATGGAAATCTGGCGGCATCGAGCAAAATCCATTTCCTGAAATGACCCAGCCGCGGTCTCATCACAAAATATTTGAATAGACAGGGCTGCACTTTGAAAGGCAAATGCACTTAAGTATGCCCTTAGTGTGCACAGCTTCCCACTGGCGTTGAATTTTAGAATCAAGCGGCTCTCCTGGGATTGTAACAAGCCTCCATTCAAAACGCTGTATTTGGGCCCAAAGTGTTTTTGGGAACCTCTCATGTTCCCGTGTCGATGGGAGCCGCCTCATTACGACATATAAAACTGGTTCTGCGACATTTAGGTTGAGTGACGGGGAAGTGCGCTGAAGGCAGCCATGAGCCGTATCTTCAGGGAAGGGATGATTTATGTGTGTGCTTGGGCCAGTTTACTGCAACATTTCAGAGAAAAAAATGTACCTCGAGCACATTGTAGTGTCTTAAGAGGCTAAATGGGAACGCAAGCATTCATCCTGCCGATATGAAAAAGCGCAGAACAAACAGATGTTCTGGCCGCGATCACTGGAGGTGTGCGAGCGCTCTGGAGTAATCTGCTCATAAATCTATTTTTTTTTCTTCTTCTCCATTTCATGTAGTTCGCCTTGTAGTTAATCACATCATAGTCTGTTTAATTATCAAGCGGGCCATTCCCCTCCAGAGCGCCAAATGTCAATAAGACCCACAGGAGGGAGGCTCGATAGCAGCGAGGCCTTTTTACCGTTCCACTTATTGAAACAGCAACATTGCTGAGGAACCCATTCACACAACACCGCTACAGACACACACACGCGCACACACACACACACACGGATAGCCACACAAAGCCAAACTGCTGGTTGGATATGGCGAGAGAGGGAGCTAGAAAGAAGAGGGGAAGTTGATGGCATAATAATCTTCGTTAGTGTTTAATGAGGCAGCTCTGCCTTCCAGGGTTTCATTGAAGCAGCTAGTCACATCGTTTGGAGCCATCTGTCCATCCATTCAGCGGGCTTGTTGATGGGATGTTGGCACGGGCTCACAGACTACCTGGGTGAAGCGGGCACACTCGTTTGTCCTCTGAATAGGTACTGTCAGGGCAGCAGAGCAGCATGAAATAAGATAAGAAGACAATCGACTTTATTGTCCCGGAGCTAAATCTTTAATGACAGAATCTAAGACATGTGATGGACATCTTCTTAGGATGGACCCCTGTGGATAAAAGTGACACTTTTCTATCCAAAATACTGACAGTATTCTGTGAATCAAGGTTGAAACCTTTTAAAACATCAGTTGGTCTTGACAAAATATCCCCGCTTTCACAAGCCCATGTGGAAAAAAAAGAAGGTGGTAGAAATTCACCCTGCGCTGTTATCCACGTGGATTCGTCCCAGCAGCTGACAGCAGGAGTGATCGCTGTGGAATAAAAGAAGCCGTCCCGTGTATCATCACCTTTGTAAACCAAGAAAAACTAGGGATGATTAAATGACCTTAAGAATTTAACCGATTAAAAATGTATTAACTGACAATGTATGTTTTGTATACCATTTTCTCCGGAGCTCATATGTATTCACTTTAATACTACAAGAGGGAGCCCCATTTGACATATTTTTATATTAATTTCAAACTTTTCAAAATTGAAAATTAAAAATATTTTATTCATTTATTGTAAATGACCTCTCGCGGCCCACACTTTGGGAATCGCTGGTCTAATCTGTTGTGCCCGAAGGGGAAGGATGAGAGTCGCTGTTCAAAGGCTCACGTTTGGATAAACGCTGGGTCAAAATCAAGCGCATCTGGTTTGACACTTTACTCTAGCGACACTGAAATGCACCTGGCGTGCATTAGCTTAGCTTCATGGCTATGTGTGTCTCCCAGGCAATGGCTACATCGAGGGGAAGGAGCTGGAGAACTTCTTCAAGGAGTTGGAGACGGCCCGGAGAGGAGCTGGGGTGGTGAGTTCAACGACTGAAGATTAAACACATGCAAGACATGGCCACTCGTGTTTCACTTGTGTTAAGTACAAATGTTTTCCAGGACCCGACAAACCCCATATTCAGAGAAAAGATGAAGGAGTTCATGCAGAACTTCGACAAGAACAAAGACGGACGAATTGAGATGTCAGAGGTAAGGCCTGGAGATCGTTCCTTGTTTTAGGTTTTCAATAAAAATGTACTTTTTTGTGTCAGTGAGATGTTGTACAATATATAATATAGACAAAGTATTAACTAATTTGAATTGGATTGATGCCACTTCTATTTGTGTAGCGAGTAGGAAGAGGAAAAGCTAAGAAAACTCACAGCCGGAGCAATAAAGTGCAAGACTTGATCAATAGCAGATTGATTTCATAAATACAGTCTTTATTATGGTCTCATTGGAGTGTCAGTTTGTTATGTTGCTCTCCTTCGATTTTACTATTTTCAGATCAGGATTTAACATAAAGGCAAAAAGAAGGCCCTTCTGTGATATCAATAATACACCTACCGCATGGAAAATCTTAGTCAAAGGTTCAGTTGTTGCGAAGGCTTTGTCTGAACCTAAATTTGATTTCTTAAGAATTCCTACCTAGGCACAGCCCGGCTTCTCTATTATTTATGTCCGAGTTGGCCATTTGAGGCAGACAAAAAGCTACCTAGTCTCCATCCTTTCCCTCCCGGCATCTCAACCCGATCACCATGTGTTCTCACCACTCCCTTGTCGTTTTTTCTCTTTAGCTGGCCCAGATTCTCCCAACAGAAGAGAACTTCCTGCTCTGCTTCAGAGAGTTTGTCAGCTCCAGTGCTGAGTTCATGGCGGTAAGAGCGATCGTTCCCTTTTGCTAAATTCTCACTTACAACGGTTCTGCCATTAGTCAGGACACGATGTCTTTAACCGACCATTCATTATAGACCAGAGTCGGTCAGCCGGGGAGGAGAGACGGCCTGCAGGTTCTCGCCGCTGCCTACCAACTGATTTCTCGGATTCATCCCGTTTATTGTGGAAGGTGTACTATTTCGCACCTGGCGGTTAATCGTGAACATTGACTCAACCGAACAGGGTTAATACTTTAATAAGCGTGTTTTAAGAAATGCACAGGACACGCACAAATAAACACATATGGAGAGTAAATTCCATTCTTTTATAGTTGACATATTATACTCCACACAATAATTCATTTATAAGGAATGAGGAATAAGAAAACAATGGATACCAATGGAAACTATCCCAGTTTTCAAGGGGTTGATAGAGAGAAGTTTTAAGATTTGTTCATAACAAGCGTAACGTCTACAATTGGAAGGTGTCACCAACAAAACAATGAGTCAGAAAAGCACCAAATCAATTCAGCTAACGAGTATTCGCACACTAGCTACGCACAAAGCTAATCGTAGGTGACTAGTTACTATCAAAACCTTGCTATAACAAAAGTGGTTCAGTGCTGTTATTAAAACCAAGTGGTGTGTTTAAGAAACCCTTTATATATGAAGAGTTAAACGTATACTATAGTTGTGTTCGGTGCAGATGTTAATAATGAATAATAACTGGTAGTTGGAGTAAAGAAACGTCCTCGGCAGGCCGAGGTGTGTGATGAAATGCACGAGAAAAGAGGAAGTCATTAATTCCACAAAATAACTAGAAGATAAGGAAACGGCAGATTTCATTGACGATATGAAAGAATGGCACCAATTAGAAAGCATTTACATGTCTGCCAGAGACTGTCCTTGTCTCCTGTGGCATATTGAAAAGGAACAACGAAATGAGAGAAGGAGGATGACTGAAGGGGACGGTGTGGAGAGAAGGAAACAAAGGGCAAACAAGAGAACGCAGGAACCAAGGGGACGTAAATGAAATGTCGATGGGAAGTTGAGCGGCAGACTTTGAAAGAATAAAACAAGAGAGGGGATTAATCCGTCTTTGTTGCAAGGTTCTGGGAGGAGGAAGTGGGCAGAGATGTTTTGAAAGAGTTGGAATGAGGAAGCAGAGCCTTCTATTTTCAGAGTCATATATAATGGATACACCACTGTAACTCCTCTTTGACGAGCCCAGAGGAGGAGCAGAGGCGTAGGAGGAGGAGGAGAGGGAAGGGAGGGAGGCCATCTATCTTTGATAAGGAGCCCTTCTTCGGACAGGGACAGCTGCTAGATTAAAACATTTGTTAAAAGGACTTTTGTTCCCTGCCTCATTCCGGTCCCTGTCTCCGGCCGCCCTCTGCTCTGTATGCCAGAGAATGGGATTGTATTGAAGGCCGTGTGATTGAGCGTGTGGTCAATCCCAATGGAACCATTTCTGCTCAGCAACAAAGGGAGGAAGGTTTACGTAGGGAAGAAAAGACATGTAGATGTCTCTGCGCCTCCTACATCAGCGCGTCAACTGCTTTCAATCCAATGTTTCCTTTGTTCTGGTGATTTCTTGCAGGCATGGCGGCGATACGATACAGATCGCAGCGGCTACATTGAAGCGAATGAATTGAAGGTTTGTTGCGACTCAGTGTAACACATAGCAGACCTGACAATAGATATTCATTGGTCTCCCAATGAGAAGCATAACTAATCTTATAATAATTGTTTTTATTCATATGTTTACTTTGTCATAATTATTTCTCATTTTATTGTCTTTTTCCATTCTTTTCCCCCAACACACACACACACACATTTAAATGCTTATTAGCCGAGCACCCAACCCAAACAGTAGCTGCTAAAAGCATATTCCATGTCTTTTCTTGTATTCTTTTAGATTGTATTTATCTATATCAATACCACTGTATTAGTGATGTGTTTATGTTTTATCATCGCCTGGATGTATTCCTTAAACCTTTAATTAAATTGGAGTGTTAAAGTTGCAAGTAGCAAAATTTTCTCTTTATCCCCTCCCAGATGCTACATTGCTGTGCATCAATAAAAGAAAGGAAACAAACAAAAATAATTCTCCTCTTTTTGTGTGTTGTGATTAGTAAGTATTTATAAGTAACTATTCCCCCACTATAGTGATTCTGAACCAGCTTGGGAAAAAGAATAGAAATAGGTGGGGAGTGTGCTTATCCACTCTCTTATATAAAGTCCACAGATAACCCAAATACAAAAATATAGTCATCTTTTCTGAGAGTCAAGGGGATGCTCCACAGGAAATCCCCTAAAGACCATGAGTGGTTTTTCCAGGTGAGGCTTCAGATTCAAAAAAGCATTTCAGAATTAAAAAAGTTCAAAGTTGTTTTTCACTTCGATACCTCCAGTGAAATGTTTTTCCAAATTACATAAAGGAGAGAGTCCGCACTTGGGAGTTCACCATTAATGGGGTCAGCAATCACGTGTGAAGTACAGAGCGGGCTGCTCGGGTTGATAGGGGATCACATTCCTTCCGGCTGACCAGATGCAGATGAGTTACTCAGGTGTGGCCTTTGGACAGCTTTCTCAAATGGTGGAGATGAGAATATGTGATTGTATCGACACAAGAGCTGAAGTGATGTGAGATAATGGCTGCACTTAATGTACGTAAAGGCTGTAGTCACTCTTACCTCTGCGGATTCAAATTTTTAATAAAGAACACAAGATCACTTGATAAAATAACATTATCACATTTTCTGTCTCTGTTGTTTTCTCTTCTTTCTGTTTACCTGTTACCCTCCTTCTGTCCTTACTTGCCTCTACACTATATTTTATTTTAACCTGTCTTTGTATTCTTCTTCTTTGTTTGCTCCTTTTCGTCATTCATCGACTGATTTGAAAGCCATAGAAACCCCTAAAATTGTAAAAACTACACTGTGCAGGTTTTAAAAAACATCTCTCATATTGCTGCTCTTTATTTAATAGTACATACTGTTCCATGCCTCATTTCTTTCTTTTATTCTTAAATCTACTCAGGGCTTCCTGTCAGACCTGCTGCAGAAGGCCAACAGACACTACGATGACAAGAAGCTCCAGGAGTACACACAGACCATAGTAAGTTTCTCATACATAGTTGGCACAAAATTTGGCCTAAAGCCACGATAGTGCAGACAATTAGTTGTCTTGGTGTCTGAGCCATCAAGCTGTTTTGGATAAACTCAAACCATTAAAATAATTGTGGAAAAGAAGGGAGGATTAAGTATACAGAGGATGTTGACCTTTGATGCTCCCACATTGTTACCTTCTTATTCCTGAAACGTGTTCCCTTGCATTTACACGTATGTCTCAGTTTGCACTGTACTGGTTCATAAGTGAATGCCGAATAAGACATTTTTGGGCAACCAAAAGGTGTACGTTCCTTGAACTAAAACATGCCGTGAAAGGGTTAAAGTTCTAAGACAAAAAAAAAAACGGATGACTCCCGGACCAGAGAACAAAGTTAATCACAAGGTAGCTACGCCCTAAGAGCATTTAATAAACCCATGTTCACAAATATAAATCATGTGAGAAGTAGGCTCGTTTACCTAAAGATTTCTATACAAATGGACGTTTTTTGGAAACCAAAGAAGTTGCAGCCTGATGGCCATTAGGAAGACTGCAGGTCTTTCAAATTGCCGCCCAGAAGCGGATGATGTGACGCGGCAAAACTACACCAGGTATTGATTTGCATCAGTGCCTCTCAAAGTGTTAACAAATGACTGTAAATGACTAAACTTAAATACAACTGACACCTCATAATCAGCATTAAGTCCCACAGAAACACTGTGAGCCACATGCAGTCTTTATGAAATGAACATATCAAGCGTTCCTCTGCCCGTAGGCACTCAGAGGCCTATCGTGTTGGTGGCTGTTCATGTCCTGCAGGTTGTAGGTTTACAGCACAGATGTGCTCACATCTGCTTTGTCCTGGAAGCCCTAGAGCTGACCTGATTTTTCAGACGCAGGTTTCCACAGCTCACTCTCAGATACACTCGGCCGTTGTTGTTTCTTCATGCCACTATTTTAGCTGCGGATGGTAAGGATATAATCAACGGAAAGAAGCTGACTTTCACGTACTAATAATAACAGATCAAAAATAATGAATTGTAGATTCACAGGCACCAATATCATTCAACTGTGCTGGTGATATCATGTTGGAACCTGTAGAAAAGCTAAATGATGGGTGATTTTATTTCATACGACTGTCAGAAATTGTCACAAATGGTGATGAATTGATATGAAAATGTTTTCATATCAAATATGTGTGCAATAAAAATGTGTACAACACATTTCAGAAGCCAGACATTTGTCAAAAATATTTTTAAAAAAGTAGAAGTAGTCACTATTTTTTATTTTTTCAGTTTACCCAAGAAAATCACTCTACACGTCTCTTGTTAAACATTCGTAATAATAAAAAAAACCTGATATATAATAAAAGTACAAACTTTCCAGTCTGTTTCCGTTTCTCTATGAAATTCATGGGACCATATTTGCCTTCCTCTTGACAGCACATACCTATAAAAACGGCTGTTTCAGTCTCTCTCCTTTGTCCCGTCCTGTCTCTGTTCTGCTTCTACTTTGTAGCTCAGGATGTTTGATCTGAATGGAGATGGGAAGTTGGGCCTGTCAGAGATGGCCAGGTAATGTGCAATTTGTCTTGCCTCTGTTCACAGTTTATGTAAATGTTAAGACAGATGGTCTGCTGATGTTAATTCACGACCAATGTATTTGAATAATTTAACTATTGTTGCTAATGAAGTCCTTCTTTACCCCAGGCTGCTCCCCGTTAAGGAGAATTTCTTACTCAAATTCCAGGTACGGCGCAGAAAGAAATGGCCTTACACAATTGACATCAGCGAAGAACTTTAGTGTAGCAGTGGTTGAGTTTTTGCCTTCTCCTGTTTTTTCTTTGCAGGGTGTCAAGTTGACCACTGAGCAGTTCAATGCCATCTTCGCCTTCTATGACAAGGTAGGCGACATTTCATTCAAGGGAGCAATAAAGAAACAGCAGCCAAACACTAAAGGTGTGATCATCTCTTAAATAGTAAATCACAGCAATACAAGGCTTCTGTTTTCAAATGAAAGAATATGTTCATTAATCAGAGCCCTTTCGCATAGAGCGCTAAACATTTGAAATCATGAACAACTCTATAACAAATGAGCACGGTTGGGAGACTCTCTCTTGTTGACTGTCACGTTCTGTCTGAGGATTTGCGCAATGGGGGGGGAAAGAACTGCTAAAATGCTAACACGCTGACAGGACGTAGCGAGTGTGCAGCAGCATTTCACTATAAAAGAAGAACCAATCGCAACAGAGTAAGAAAGAGAAGAGTCCGGACTGTCTGGGTGACTCTGCACTAGGGGTGTAACGATTCACTTTAACAACCATTCGATTGGAATCGCAATTCATGGTTGACGATTCGATTCATGGACGATCTGGGTTAATTTAGAACGATTCGATTCGATTCAGTGACTTGAAATCGATTCAGTAAGTTTAATTTACTTTACTTTAATTATGGATATTATAAACAAGAAAACAACAATTAATGGCAAATGTATTAACCTTTTATTGTGCAACCATTTTCAATGTAAACATTACACAATAATTACAGAACCCCGGATTTTCAACCACATTGTAGGGTCGCATGTCTTTACAGCTAAACTTGGCAATTGTTACTGTGATGTTGAGTTTGGTGCTGGCGAGGCCTGAGGTGTCTGCAGAGCTGGAGTTACCTGCTGCTGCTGCTGCAGCGGTGACGCTGCTAGAGGTCCTGACTGTCGGCGTTGTTTAATCCCAAGGCGCCTTAGTAGATGGCCGGAAAGATTCGCTGTGTTTCCGTGTTTTTTTATTTGGCTTCTACATATTCTACAAACAGCGACCGACTTATTTGTTTGCAAAAGCCAAAATGCTTCCACGCGCTGGATCGATAAGTTGGTTTGTAAATGTCTCGCTCGCAGTCGTCTCTACCACGCTGTGTTTTGTTGTTGTTCAGAGTTTCGCGCGGCTGCCGCTGCGTACTGATGACGTCACAGACAGGCAGACTGAATCCAGTAACGTTAACGTGTCTAAAGTGCTAAAAAACAAACAAACAAACACACATCCACACCGTTTTTGTGCTTAAATCCAATGTGCAGTTTCCAAGTATCGATACAATCGATTATGTACCATTTCAATCGATGTCGTCCGGAATGCCGATTTGCGGAGCACAGATCGATTCAGTTGGATCGCAGGAATATGAATCGATTAATCGATTCAGTGGATGAATCGTTACACCCCTACTCTGCACTGTTTAAAGTTTCCTCCTTTTGTAATATCATGATTAGGAAAGTTTCCTTGTTTACGGCGCTCCTGAATTACCTGAGGAAATGAGTCAGACTTGACACACCTGTGCCTTTGGAAACAGATCACAGTCTGTGAGCACTGGTTCAGTTAATGCCTTCATTTTCCAAATTAGCACTAGATTGGTGGAGGGGCCACAGGGAGCAATATGGGACAAGGCGGACGGGAACAGAGCCGAGTAACAGGGGACAGGTGCTTATCTTATAAATCCTGGGTTCTTGTTTATGAAATCTTTTGGAGCTTTTATCGGCACGAGTGATCTTCCATAATCTAGTGGGATGCGGGAAGGCCGACTCTGTTCTGTTGTTCGGTTAGTTCCAATGTTCTGAAAGCTCTATTTTCTTTTACATAAAATTTACTCTGTAATGTGTTTTCTGCCTTCTCACGACATGGTTTTATTTATTGTCTTTAACATTAATTATGTTTCGAAAAACGTGAACAGTGAAGTAGTGAGTATATTTACGCCATTGGATACTTCAATTGCTTGTTTAAGGAAAAATAACATGCCCTATGGCACTGTGAGCATCATTTCAAAGTAGATCATATAGAATATTTGCTGTTGAAGTGAGACATGTCTGTTCTGTACTGATTCAAAAACTGTTGATAGAGAGAAATTAAAGGTAAAAAACCTAATAATTGGCACATGGATATTCAACATTTGGCTCTAGGAATGAACCAATCCGACGCTATAGTTCCAAAACCTTGAAAAAAAACATTACTGGCACAGGGTGCTAATCTTCCAGAGCCACGCTGCATATTACTCTCAATGAAGTCTATGCAATACAGCTAAAGGTCCCCGCGGCCAAATAAGAGCAGTATCCATCCCTCAGGTTGGACTGAAGTCAAGCCCTCTCTGTAGCTAATTCACTTGCAAAGGACAGAGTTGAAAATAGATGAGCTGTGTCGACTCATTCATGTCGACTATTTGTGGGAATATAGCGCTACCATTTGTGGGTGTAATTAGTTCCATCATTATGTGCTCGGCCCCTGCAGCACTGAGAGATCGCCGGCAGGGCGCAGAGCGGCCGGTCAGCTGAACTCTAAAATGGCTCACGGGGCCACCAGCCCGAAACTGTGCAAAACCTTTAAAAATATCTGTAATTTCAAGATGTCTTGCTACTTGGACACGCTAGCCCATACCGGATGGTGCTTCCTTTCCCATAACCCTGCAAAAGTTGTGGTTCTTTCATACTTAAAGTGTAAGTAAGGATAATTTCCACTTTATTCCTGGGATCTTTGGATCTGGGACACTTCAATCTAGGCTTATAAACATCAAAGACTCTCTCTCTTCTCTGAAAGTAAAAAACTTGACTGGCAAGGCACTCAGCTCTGAAGTCGTCGTGAGACCGAGCCTAGATGTACAGAACATGGTTTTGTTCCACTTGCCAAGGGAAGATTTCCAACAACTTGGACTTATTTCTTGGCCCCAGACAGGAAATTTTTAGTGTGAGACCCAACTCATTAATTAGCAAAGTGGCTCCGCATTGACTTTGCAGTTGTGAATGGGGAAGTCTTTTATAAAATGTCATCTGTCATGAATGGTCATTGGCTGGTGCATTGTTGAAGGCTGGCTTACAATATTGAATGAGCAGCAGAGCAGGCCACACACATCAGGAAGCTCAGCATCTAAATATAGCCTCCCCGCACTGTATATATTTTGGTAAAAACTAGAAACAAATTCTGCCGTAGAAGGCAGCTGCATATTGTTCAGCTGTAGTTCAAATAGCTACCAATATCACTCCAATGACATCGTCTTAATTCATTACAGTCGCTTGTAAATAAAATCTGTGGCATGCTTCTGTCATTCTCTTTCAGGATGGGAATGGTTACATTGATGAGATGGAGTTAGATGCCCTGCTACGAGACCTTTACCAGACAAACAAGAAGGTGAGATGCACACCAGTACGCTGCAACCCTGTTGATACCAAAATGCACCGTTTGCTTTTTATGAGCTTGTATTGTGTGTATTTTAATTGTTAATGTTATTTTAAACACAAAACTACACACATTTGATCATCTTGGAGGCAGAATTCCGCCTGGTGGAACTAGCGACTCTTCCCGTTGTCCTCGTGCACTTTGCCCTCAACTCTCCATCCTTTAACGGCTGTGTCTGAAGTGCCAACAATCTCCCCACATTTAGCCAGAACGTTTTCAAACCACGTCTTTTAGGGACGCAGTGTTGGATCTCCGCAGACTGTGTGCCGCGCTGGCTAACGTTAGATGTTCAGATGGAAGCAGCCTAGCAGCTAGCTTAGCATAGCGGTGCTTTGAGTGGTCCGTTTGCCACTCACCCCCCTTCAGTTTGACACGTGGAGGAATTCCTCTGCACAGTTATCTACTGTATGTTGCGCCTCTGTTTGTTTTACCTCCAATCCATCTTCTGCCACCGTCTTGCTTTCTCCGATGTAACTAGCGGCCGTTTCGTTTCCGAGGTCAACTTCTTTAGGAGTAAACAAAGTTACGATAACTATGTTAAAATATTTTGTTGCTTTAATCTCAGCCGCATTAATCGCATGGATTAAGAAGTTTATGTTGACAGCCCTAGTTATAACCACTGACCTCTGTCAATTGGACTGTTCTTTAGCCTAATTTGCATAGAATGGGACCAAATGTAGGCATATTAGCCGATTGAAATATGTGCAAACAGCACAGGAGCACCAAGACTCTGTTTGCTTGGCAGCGCAGTAAGTGATGCATTCAGTTATTATTAGAGTCCTTTTTTTTACCTCTGTCTGAAAATCTCCCATTGTTTCCCCACGACCCCCTCTCTCCCGTTCAGGAGGAGGACGTGAAGAACCTGACGGGCTACAAGCAGAGCATCATGCGCCTGTCCGACGCAGGGAAGCTCTACCGCGGCGAGCTGGAAATTGTCCTCTGCAGGGAGCCCATTGTTTGACTCTTCCTCTTCGCTCTTGTTGTGTCCTTTTCTTTTTCTACCCGTCCTTTCTCTTCCAAGACCACGCCCGCGTCCAGCTGCCTGGCGACATATACCGGCCTGCATGTGCCAGATACCCCTCTCCTATACCCCACCCGGCCCTAACGTTACAACATCAGAACGAACAAGTGCACCGTCAGCACGTACAAAGGCGCTTCCTCCTCAAACCCTCATTTTTCTACCACCTGACCTGTGTGAAACCTCTACAGTAGTTTTTCACCTTTATAAGTCCTCACCCATTTCCTTTACTATTTCTGACCCTTTAAACATCCCCGCCATCCCCGCCATCCCTGCCGTGCCTGACTTGCAACTCCTGACCAAATGCCCAAAGACCTTTTGACCCGTTGATAACCCTTGAACCTCGAACCTCTCCATCCCCTCTATCTTAAAACCTTAGATACAATATATATATATATATATATATAACAGACAACTGTGTTTGGATTTATCTAATTTATAGTCTGTGTTGGCCTCTTGGCCCTCCTGTTCCATTGCCATGATATCATTTGAAATTTTCAATGTTTGTTTTTGGCTGCTAGTCGATTGGAAATATTAATAAAATGTCTTAACATAAACTTGTTTTTGACACTCTATGAACATTATTTTGTAACTACCATCGTTGGTCATGACTTGGTGGAGAAGATTAAGTCTTGGACTTTGTGGCAGTCTAAATATTTTAGAGCCATTGAACACTCAAAGGGATGTTTCCTTGTGCTGACCTTCTGCATACCAACTTCATTATTGTATCACGGCCCCCCAGCTGTAAACTGGTGCCTCATTTCAACTCACTAGCGTAAACGTGCAAAGGATTAAGGATGGATGCAGTCGCAACAACAGCCAGATGGTGCACAATTTAGAACTATATAGATTGTATAAGAAAAGCACCAGCGATTCGCTCGGATGTTGCTGGTTCTCTTCATTAAGCAGCTTCGCAAGAAGTATGTGAAATCAAGACAAATATAAATATTGCCTGTTTCACTGCGACAGCTTTATTCGCAGTATGATGCCTGTCTCTCAGTTGCATAATGAAAAGGACTGAAGAAGTAGTGTGATGTTGCTGAGTCTGCACTCTGTTTTCTCCTCGTGTGAATGAAGTACGGCAGCATAACCAAACACTTCCATTCCTCCCTTATTTGAGTTGCTGAGGCAGACCTGAACTGAAGTGAAAGTTGATCCAAAGTTCTTGCATTTACAAGCAATTTCTAAGGAATTTACAATTTAGCTCCTGTTAACTTTGGAAGTGAGTTAAAATGTTTGAATCTCATAAATGACCAAAGTAAATCCAAAAAGTAGATAATCTGATCTGACATCAGCTAAAAGAAAAACGATGATGCGTCTCAGAGGCTTTAATGTCAATAGGAACATGAATGCAGAGCCTATTGCATAAAACATGCAATTCAATATAACAAAAAAAACTAAACCTTAACAATAATCTGAACTGACAACCACAATAATTTGTCTGAAATTGCAGCGGTGCCACTGAAACCCTGCCTCTTTTCCCTGGTGAATCCAGGCTGGGAGGTGTTCCTCCTGGGCTGAGATGTTACTCCTGACATAGTAGGACAGGACTTGATATTTCTCGTAAAAACCCTGTAATTGAGTTGACATGCTTTTAAAGCCATCTGAATAATACAGCAACCGCACAAACCTCTATCTCAATGTGTAGCTGCTAGCAAGCCGCATCAATTAATCAGAGCCATTTAAATGTTTATATGACATTCAGCTGCACCAAAAAACTAAAAGTACACTAAGGTTGCAATAAGAATTTAAAAAATCCAATTAGTATTGTTTCAGGAGAGACTGTGTAGTGTAACAGGTGTCACGACGAGCTATAGTAGTTTGAGTGAGGACGACAACTTCCTTAAGAGTAGCTACAAGGGCGAGTCGTATTATGCCTATTTCTTAAGTCGTGCGTTTTATGTTTTCGCCAGCAGCGGAACTACTTTTTTCTAGTCACTGTGTATCTCATCGTTATTAGCGAGTAAGTTCTAATATCGATCATATTCCTTAAGGTTTTCTAGCTGACTCGTATTTGTTCGGTACACACAGTATTGCTTATCTTCCCCCCAATATCTAACGCGGATGATGGTGAAGTAGGTTGTTAAGACGATACATTCGTGACACTCATTCTAACACTTTATTGAATTTAAGAAACCTTTTGATTAATTTCTCACCAGGGACCTACGCAGTGCTGTAGTGGTAAAATTAGAGGTGGGTAAACTTTGAATTTTGTGATCATACAGACCTCGACGCGATGCGAAGCAACGCAATGCGAAGCAACGCAACACAAAGCGTTGTGACTCTGTAAGGCTGTCCTGGCTATATTGCATTATGTTATCAGTAAAAGTCATATACAATCAATGACAATGAATACATGTGTTAGTAGTTTGTAGTTTATTAAATGTAAGAAAACAGTGATGAAAAGTATGTCAACACAACCCAACAACACAATTGCAGATTAAGAACTATCTACATACGGAGTCTCCTTTTTACAGTAGTGCCCAGAGGGCCTCCTTGTCCTCCACGTCAGGTCCTGCCTTGCACAGAGGAGCCATGAACCCCAGAACGCGTGTTCTGGGGTTCATGGCTCCTCTGTGCTTCTCTGTGCTTCTCCTCTCTCTATTCGACCTGGTGTTTCTCCTCTCCCTGTGCTCTCTGCATCATTGCCTGTCCTATAACTGCCTGAAAAAATATGTTGAATTTAAGAGTTAACCAGTTAAGCAGCCTGTCAATTACACTGACAACATAAGTTAAAGGAACACTCATGTACTACCTATGCCATCATAAATAGCCTATACAGCATGTTTTTTTTGTTGTTTTGTTTGTCTAATCTATGTTTACAGTGTATTTTGCTTACAGGCTACTCTACAACTTTCATGACTTCAAATAATTGATTAAGCATATAGGCCTATTCAGTGAAGCAACAGCTTTGCTCCCCGCTCACGTTTTCTATGCGAGAGCAGGACATGTGGTCATCATGAAAGAAAAAACTAATATATTTGACTTTGACCGCGGAATTTGAAGATTCTATAGCTAAACTAAAACATTTCACTTAGCATTTCTCTTAGCTATGTCTAACTGTCTTGCACATAATCTGTTGACAATTTTTCAATGAATTAGCCTAATCTGCAGCAATATGCGTGAGGATAATTACTCATTTTATTAGGCCTATTTAGATGGGACCGGGAAGGCTGGCTTGTTACTTGCATCATCGTATTTGAAAGCACGTTATTAATAGCGTTTGTCCCTGTCTTAATGCAATGTTGTGCGAACCAAAACAACGTTTAAAAATGTGAATTGATCTTCTTTAGTCTTACTTTGTACTTGAGGCCTTTTGCGGGCATCTGTGGGAGTGGGAGCACTCGATGGTCTCTTCAAATATCGCCTGATATCCATTGCTAATTACCGGCGGTAATCCATTCCGAACAGGTAGGCAGGCAGGCTAATCCAGTGGTCCCCAACCGGTACCAGTCCGTGAGCCGTTTGGTACCGGGCCGCACCACAGAAAGCTTATGAGGGCGACTGTGGGTGAGTGGGGAGCACGGTCGTCCTCCAATCAGAGGGTTGTCGGTTCGATCCCAGGCTAACCCGCATGTCGGTGTGTCCTTGAGCAAGACACTTAACCCAACATTGCTCCTGTAGCTGCGACTACAGTGTGTGAATGGTAGTTACTGAAAGGCAGGTGTCACTGTGTATGGTTCTCCTGTCATCAGTGTATGAATGGGTGTGAATGGGTGAATTATGTCATTGTAGCCGTGATAGCGCTACCACCGGCGGGTTCTTGTAAAGACGCACGGACACAGGATGAGGGTAACCAGTCTTTATTGTCCAAAAGGGGAAGGCAGTGAGCAGGAATGAGGTCGCTCTATGTGCGTGGTCGGTTTCGCCTTGTCCGGCTCCGCTCAGCTCTCGTGCTCTGCCCTCAGGCTCCACTCCGCTCTGCTCGGCTCACGTTCCCCCAACCTGGATCCTGCTCACTGCTTATGTAGGAGACAATCAGTGCAGATCATTTACACCTGGTTACTCCTCACCTACCAGCACCGTCCCCTGAACCACTCCCCCGCTCTCCCCCCTGCAGCTGAGCTAACCACGCCCCTCCACCACATACCCCCACCGCCCGACTTAGGCCGGGGAGCCATCCGGCCGAACCGACTCCCCCCCCCCCTCCCTCCTGAGGGCGGGAAAGGAAGTCCGCCACGACCATCTGCGCCCCCGGCCTATGGATCACCTTGAAGTTAAAAGGCTGTAGAGCCAGATACCACCGAGTGATCCGGGCGTTGGCATCCTTCATGCGGTGGAGCCACTGCAGCGGGGCGTGGTCCGAACAGAGAGTGAACTGGCGTCCCAGGAGGTAATACAGCAAGGAGTCGACCGCCCACCGGATGGCCAGGCAGCCGCAAAAACCGCCTCACCTCTTTTTTCGTCTTGGGCTGTGGGCAGGCTGCAATGGCTGCGGTCTTGTCCACCTGCGGGCGCACCCGCCCGCCGCCCAAGTGGTACCCCAGATACCGTACCTCCCTCCGTCCAACTGCACACTTCCCCGGGTTGGCGGTGAGCCCGGCCTGCCTCAGGGACTCCAGCACCGCGCCCACCCGCCGCACATGCTCCGCCCACGTGGTGCTGTGGATGATGACGTCATCCAGGTAGGCGGCCGCATACGCAGCGTGCGGACGCAGCACCCGGTCCATGAGGCGCTGGAAGGTGGCCGGGGCGCCGAACAGCCCGAAGGGAAGCGTGGTGAATTGGTACAATCCAAACGGAGTGGAGAACGCCGACTTTTGCCTGGACTCTGGTGACAAGGGAATCTGCCAGTAGCCCTTGGTCAAATCCAGTGTCGTAAAAAACTGTGCGGTGCCCAATCGGTCCAGGAGTTCGTCGACCCGGGGCATCGGGTAAGCGTCAAACCGTGAGACCGCATTCACCTTGCGATAATCCACACAGAACCTTATTGAGCCATCCTTCTTGGTGACAAGAACGATGGGGCTGCACCAGGCGCTGTTGGACTCTTCTATTACCCCCATCTCCAGCATAGCGGCCAATTCTCGCTGAACCATTTTCTTCTTGTGTTCAGGAAGCCTGTAGGGCCGCGTCCGCACCGTCACGCCCGGGGACGTCTCAATGTGATGCACTATGAGGTCCGTGCGACCTGGCCGGGAGGAGAACACATCATTAAATTGATCTTGCAACCGGGCTATGTCCGCTTGCTGGGCTGCAGAGAGACGGGCGTCGGACGGGAGCCGGGTGGGATCGGTGGACTTTGGGACTTCTGGGCCCAGCTCCTCGCTCTCTGCTACTGCAGACACCAGGGACACGGACTCTCTCTCCATGCTTTAAGGAGGTTGAGGTGGTAGACCTGCGTGGCTCCCCCTCTGTCAGATCGCACCACCTCGTAGTCGACGTCCCCTACCCGCCGTGTGACCACAAAGGGCCCTTGCCACTTGGCGAGTAGTTTTGAGCTGGAAGAAGGAAGTAATACAAGCACTTTCTCTCCCGGTGTGAATTGTCTCAGCCTGGCCCCTCTGTTGTACAGCCGCTGTTGACGTTCCTGGGCCTGGAGCAAATTCTCACGTGACAA